TGGCATCAGAACAACATAAGCTTGGTGACATCCTGGCTGCTGCCTTTAGACCTTGGAACTTCCCTTTGATTAGTTGGACCTCTTGAAAGTGAACAATTTACTTCTCCCCAGAATAGACTTGCCCCTAGGTGATACAAACAGTTAGCATGCTCAATTGCTAACCAAAGGTTGGAAGTTTGAGTCCACCTAGAGGCACCTCACAAGAAAGGCCTGGCAATCTACTTCCAAAAAAAATCAGCTTTTGAAAAGCCTAGAGAGCACAGTTGTAGTCTCTCACACACATGAGGTCACCATAAGTTGATGTTAATTTTATGACAACTGGTGGGTTTTTTTGTTGTTTAGAATAGATTAAGTCACTATATTCCAATAAGAAAATCATTCCTCCACTTTGGACCCTGACCCCTCATCTGGCATTAGAAGAGTTGGATTTAAGTCAGTCCCCTCCTTGCTTCCCACCAAGTCCCCACAGTCTCTGGAACATCTGTAAATAACAGTCCATAATATCTGCTTGCTTGTCTCTGCAGTGCCCTGGACTGGGAGTTCTTCTCTGTGGGAGAAGACTATTTCCTGGTGGTTGCCAATTCCTTCGATGGGAATACCTTCTCGGTAAACAGTATTATTTACAGGTAAACAGCTGTTAACAAGCATTGTCCTTCTATCACCTTGGTTCATCTCTGGGTGGTCCCACCTGACCTTGCAGGTAACCGGGGATTCAGAGGGAGTCACAGACTGTCAGCCTAGGTGGCATTTGCCCAGACTTCATCCAACCTATAGCTCAACTGGTGCAGAGTGCGCCTGGATGAGGTTGGAATCTGGGTCACTGCCCTGCCTTCATCCAGGTGACCCACCAACCACACTGATTTGGAAAGCTCTGAATTCCACCTGGAGGTGCAACATATAGACAAATCAAACTGAGAGCTTTTGATATTTTATCCAATTAAATGTCCCTATCCAGGATATCATGGGAGTCAGTGTGGTGCTATGGATTAATGCGCTAGATTGCATGGTCTGTTTGAACTCTAGGGTTGGTGGTTCAAACTCACCAGCTGCTCCTTGGAAGTCCTATACAAGGCTGCTATGGATTGGAATCAAATTGATGGTGCTTAGCAACAACAACAACATCCAGGATATCATATGTATCACCATTTCTCATGTCCTGCAATACAATATTATAGCTCTCCACATAGAAGCATTCTATCATGCTTATTAAATTTATTTCCCAGGTGTCTTTCAACTATTTGAGTATAATGAAAGGGAGTTTTAAAGTTTCCTATCCCAGATGCTTATATCAGCATTCCATTTTGTAGTCATGACAGTACCAAATTATCAATTCTAATAGTGTGTTGTTGTTTTTTTTCTTAAGAAGAATCTCAAGGGATTTCTAGGGATGTAGTTTTATCCATGTCTAAAGGCAATTTTGCCTCTTTATCTAAAATCTTTTCCTTACTGATTTAGTTTTCATAGCTAGGAATTTCAGAACAGTCTTGAATAGTAGCAGTGATGACCTATATGTCCGCCCACTCTGACAGGTTGAGTCGCACACTGTTGGATGCAATATTACCCTTGGCTTTTTATGAACATTATATCTGTGTCACAGTTACGTGACTTCCTTTGAGGCTTTGTGAGGACATGGTTTGATCTGTCTGTTGATATAAGGATTCATAATGAGAAACTTCCTATGTTCCTGGGAAGAATGTCACTTGATGGTGACATGTGATTATTTAATATAACACTGATTTCCAACTGTCTGTTTCATTTCTCATACTGTCTCATGACATACTGTCACGAGGGACCAGTACTTGGAGAAGAATGCCATGTTTGGTAAATTGGAGGGTCTGAGAAAAAAAGACACCCCCCCCCCCCATAGCAAGATGAATTGGCACAGTGGCAGCAACAATAGGCTCAAACATAGCAATGATGGTGAGGTTGGCATACGACCGGGCCTGTTGTACATAGAGTCTCTATAAGTTGATACCAACTCAATGGCACCTAACAACAACGTTTAGTTTAAGAATTTTGCATCTATAATAAGAAATAAAATTGTTCTGTGGTTTTATTCTAGAGACTCTATCCAGTTCAATGTGAATGCTAACTTAATAAATACATATCACAGTGTTTTCCAGCCATGGTTATGAGATAGAATAATTTTAATTTATCCATTTGATTTGAAGATTAAGCTAAATTCAGTTATATAGCCACCTGGGCTTGGTGTTTTTTTAATAGTATCTCTTTAACAATTTTTTCCAAATTCTCCTGTGGTTATTGGCTTATTCAGTCATCTGTTTTTCTGACATTCCAGTTTATTGCTGTACAGTTTTCAATGTGACAAAATAATTTTTAAATGTATGTGAAAGAATAAATTTGTAAATATGGTCAAGGAATTTTTTTTAAATATATTTTCAAAATAGAAATTTTCATAATAAAGTAAAAACAAACAAATTCATAGAATAGAGCCCAGAGTACAGTCAATCATTTATGGTCATGGTGAGGTGCTGTAGGATAAGCATTTGACCACAAGGTCTGTTTGAATAGCAAGTTCAGTCTTCAAGCTCACCAACACTCCTTAGAAGCCTTTACAGGGTCACTATTAGTTGGATTGGACCCGGTGGCACTTAACAACAACAACACTATGAAAGATGAGGCTTTCTGCTCCTGCAAAGATTTATAGCCTGGGAAATGCTATACAGGGTCTCTAACCAACTCAGCACTTAACACCAACAATATGATGCTGGTTGTATTTCAATTCAATCAGAAAAGGATGCATTACTTAGCAAAATAGTTTTATATAATTTGTTATACATGTGGAGGAAAACAAAGATATGTTCCCACTTTATATCATATGCAAAACTAATTTTTATATGAGTTAAAAATCAAAATGTAAAAAACTGAACATCAAAAACATTAAATTGAAGAAACAATAAAGAATCAATAAAACTAGGAATGGCTCTTTGAAAAGATCAATAAAATTTAATAAATCTTTAGCTGGACTGACAAAGTGAAGAAAAAATGCAAATTGCCAAGATTTAAAAAATGATTCAATAGAAATAAAGAGAATGATGGCAGACTGTTATGAATAACTGTACAACAAACTGGATAACTTAGATGAAATGGACAAATTCTTAGAAGCACACAGACAACCCAAATTGACTCAAGGGGAAATAGAAAGTCTCAACAGACCCCCAAAAAGTAAAGAAATGACAACAGTGATCAAAAGCTTCCAAACCCACCCCCCCCCAAAAAAAAAAATGTCCTAGACCATTTAGCTTCATTTGGAAATTCTAATAAATATCTAGAGATGAATTGACACCAATATTGTTAAAATTCTTTAAAGATATGGAAAAGAAAGGACTGCTTCCAAATTCATTTAAGAATAAAAACTATCCCTGATACGAAAATCAAGCAAAGACACCACAAGAGAAAATAAATAAATAAATAAAATGACAGGCCAGTATCTCTTATAACAAAAATCCTCAACAAAATGCTAGTGAACACTATCCAATAGCATATTAAGAGTCATACACCATGATCAGAGGGATTTGTTCCAGAAATTCAGTAGTGGTTCAACATTAGAAAATCAATCAGTGTAATTCACCATGTCAGTAAGGGGGAAAAAGAACCACATGAACATCTCCATGGATGCAGAAAAAGCATTTGACAAAATCCAACACACTTTCTTGATGAAAACCCTAAAGAAGATTGGACTAGAAGGGAAACTCCTCAATATGACCGAGGTAATATATGACAAGACAACATTATACATAGTGGACAAAGACTAACAGCTTTTCCTTTGAAATCTAGAATAAGACAAAGATACCCACTCTCAACACTCCTATTCAGTATTGTATTGGAAGTCTAGCCAGAGCACTAGGACAGAAAGTACCTGGAGTTGGTTCTTGATGAGGGATAAGATAGAAGTGCAATGAGGATCTCCATCAGCAATAACACAAAATACCAGATGAATCAGGTTCAGGGATGGTCCCAGAAATCTGAACCACATATAAAGGAATATTTAGAAAGTCTGAAGTCTTACAGACAGTGGAATTTACAGCAGAAGCAAGAAATCTAGTGCTTAGAATCCACCAGGTTCACCGGCACCCAGAGTGGCCATCTTGAGCAAGACTGAGCAGTGGAAGGATCAAAGCCACCATGGACTGATGCCTGATGGAACCGCAGTGATAAGGGTGTGGACATTCTTTTGTTTTTTGTTTTTTTGTTTTAACCTGTTCATTGGTCTCTCACTGTCTGTGCACCTCCATATTGGTGACTAGAAGAGGGTGCCCAAGAGAGTGGAAGCCCCTCCCCGGAGGGTTCTACTACATGTGTGCACAGATCTCCTCAAAATTTAAAGAAACAGTTGCCACTTAAAACCAAACAGCAGTGCAAAACAGCCATAGTTCAAATCAGCCAGCAATAGTTCAGCTGGCCCTGAACTATTTATCACTAGGAAAAAGGCCTGAACAGGGATTGTGAAGCAGAACAGACAGAGAGTAAAAGTGAAACAGGACAAAAATTAAATTCTGAGTTAAGTCAAAATGACCAACAGTGTCATTCTGAAATTTCATAGGTGGCCTTGAAAGCAAGAAGCCAAAAGAGGACATTAAAATCATACTCATATTAGGCTACACATTTTTTTCCCCTCTCTCTTTTTTGCAATTACAAACTACAGCATCCAATCTGTCTTTTTGCTGTTGCTGTTTTTGTTTTTTGGTCCCCCTTTACCTTTAGGAGGCTCTTTCTCTTCCTGCATTATCCAAGAAGAGACAGCAATTGCTATCATATAGTCAAGCTACAGTCACACCATATAAAATCCCACAATCCAGGCAAGAACCAATACCAGCTGCCATACACCAGGTAGGCAGACAACACCTGTGACAGTTACCCTGAGTCGATTCATAAGAAGAATGAAAAGTGAAGCCCATCTGCTGATCACATATACCTGGAGGCAATCAGAAAGCATAATAAATACCAAAACCCGCACTCATCTAAGTATTAAGGCCACAGCTAACTACTGAATATGCCCAAGAAACAGAAACAGAAACAGATGACCATATCACCACATGTCCAGAAACAAGATAAAGTGACTGAGACAAATGAGTTGGAGGAAGACCTACACTCCATACTGAAAGGAGGGCAGGCTTTGGAAATGACTGAGAAGGAATTCAGAAAAATGATTATAAAATGTATCAAGACACTTTAAATAGAGTTGAGAAAAATAAGGAATAAGTCAGGAAAGCATTACAGGAACAATCAAATAAGAGAGATACAGCATTGGGAACAATTCAAAACCAATAGAAAGAGTTCCAAATGATTAATAATGACAATCGGAAATGGACAATACACAGAAAGTGCAATAAAGTAGAATTGAAGAGCTGGAAATCAGAACTAGTGAGCTGGAAGACAAATCTTCCAATACAACTAACATAGAAGAGCAAGCAGAAAAAAGGATTGAAAAAATCTGAACAAGGTTTAAGATTCATGTTGGACAACAAGAAGAGAAATAACTTAAGAATTAACAGCATTCCAAAATAGGAAGAATCACAGATGTCCACCGAGGAGATAGTTGAAGAGTATCTTGAAGAAATGTCCCTAACATCCTAAAAAGTGAAAAGATAAGCATTCAAGAAGC